TGGTTAGGGGTGCTGGACTCCCACATGGCTGACCGTGGTTCAAGTCCTGGACCTGGCGGCTTGCTTTCTCACTCCCTCTCTTCTCTCTTTCTCTCACTCTGTCTCTCTCTGGTCAAATTTAAATAAATTTAAAAAAAAATAAAATTCAATAAAATAACAATAATTTCTAAAAAAGAAAAGAAAATCAGAGGGTATCACTAAATGAACAGCTAGACTTAGAAAGCTGGTATGTGGCTTGGCAATGAGTTCCAGCAGGACAGTGTGAAACTCACCAGCCTCAAACGAGAGACTGTCAACACGACGCACAGCCACAATCCGGGAGACTCACGCTTCCACAGAACACTCTCAAAGGCACCAGTGCACGATTCACATCTTTGGCTAGCTTTTGTTGACTGAAATTGTTTTCCACGAATCTCTCTAAATCAAACCAATTTGTACGTTCAGCCTCATCTGCCTCTGAGACCGCAGGCCACGATGTTCCTGACTGGTAGCTACGGTTACGCAATTTTTAATCTTTCAGGAGTTTCCAAGATTTGGATCCTATTTCTGCTCAGTTATGTACTTTTAGCACCCACTTCATTGAAGTTTTGTGCAGAAGTCCTCCCACTGCCTGGGGTTTGCCGTTGCCCTCTTTCACGATTTCTGAGCGGGTGCAGCCAAAACCATAAAGTTATTCCTACTAAAAATTTACTTAAAACAAACATAAAACTGTCACAAGACAAAGGGTAATCCAACTTTAGTGAAAAGGAAGTCTCAGACCTTCCTGATTATGATAGAAATGAATTTATTTTTAGTTTTAAAGAATTATTTTATTTAACTATTTATTTATTAAACTTTATTTTTAATTTTGACCAAAGAGGGGGTGGAGAGAGAGAGAGAGAAGTAAAGTGAGGAAGCAGGCGGCCAGGTCCAGGACTTGAACCACAGTTGGCCACGTGGGAGTTCAGAGCCCTTAATTACCACGCCACCTGCCAGCCCCCAAAATGGAACTTTTTAAAAAGTATCATTAGGTCGACTAGCTGGTGGCGTGGTGGTTGAGGCACAGGACTCCCACATGGTCAACTGCAGTTTAAGTCCTGGACCTGGTGGCTTTCTTCTCTCTATGGCTTGTTTTCTTTTTTATCTCTCTGTCTCTCTGGTCAAATTAAAAAATGGTAGTAATAAATAAAAATTTAAAAACATTCCAAAAAAGGGACCAGCAGATGGCATAATGGTTATGTCACTAGACTCCCACATAAGCGACTGCAGCTCAAGTCCTGGACCCAGTGGGCCACACTGGGTGCGTGCATATATGCGCCCAAAATCCTGAGAGGAGAATGGAGGATAAGGGACTACAGTGTGGCCATCCCACCTGGGAGGTGATTTCTCGCTTTCTGTCTCTGTCTCTCCGGTAAGCACACACACTCTATAGCAAAAATCTCTCTCTAAAAACACTTTGAAAAAAAAAAAGCTTCACGAGGGGCCAGGAGGTAGTGTGGTGGTTAGGGGCCGGACTCCACACGGTTGACTACGGTTCACACACTGGACCTGGGGGCCTGAAACTCAGGCAGGAGGCACGTGCGTGCCTGCGCAAAATTCCAGCAGGAGAATGGAGGAGAAGGGATTAAGTCCTGGCCACCCCCCCGGGGGTGATTTTTCACTTTCCCTCTACCTCTATCTCTCTTCAGTGAGTGCATGTGTCCTAGTGCAAAAATAAATAAATAAATAAATAAATAAATAAATAGATCAAAGGAAAAAAAAAAGTGTATGTGTTTTTTCCATATGACATGGATAGCGGGAGACGGGCACTCTCGACAGGGTCTCAGCACCATGACCCTCTGCAGGCATCACCCAGCCTGGACCACGGATGTGTGCACACGTGTGCGGCACATCCACGGGGGACCTAGACCAACTCTCCAGTGTGGTTACTAAGAGAACAAAAGATATTTCAGTCCCACACCAATTCAACCCTTAAAAGCTTAACTTCAAGCTAAAAGGCATTTACATTTTTCCTGTTACTAGCCACTCTGGTTTCCATATAAAATCCCTAAACTAATTCTTACCTTAGTTTCAGTCATATATCCTAGCAAACATTTTTTTAAGAATTATTTTTCATCTATTATTATTGAATTTGACCAGAGAGAGAGAGAGAGAGAGAGAAAGTGAGAAAGCAAGCCACCAGGTCAGGGACTTGAACTGTGGTCAGCCATGTGAGAGTCCAGCACCTTAACCATCACGTCACCCCTAGCAAACATTTTACCTGTGCCAATTTTGGAACCAAAATCTGACCATTCTGAGTTTCATTTCCTTCTCCCATTCAAAAACTGTTTCTGTATGAGTGAGCTTTTTATTCTTGGAGAGGTTTTTGCTATAGGGCGCGTGCGGTCACCAGAAAGAGAGAGACAGAAAGCGAGAAATCACCCCCCAGGGGGGATCGACACGCTGTAATCCCTTCTCCTCCATTCTCCTCTCGGGATCTTGGGCACGCACGCACACATGCCCAGTGTGCGTTTAAGCCACCGGGTCTGGGACTCGAACCGTGGTTGGCTACGTGGGAGTCTAGCGACATAGCCACTGTGCCAACTGCTGGTCCCTGGTATGAATGAGCTTTATTTTCACTTTATGACAGTTTTGCCAATCAAGTGATAACTAACACAAATACTACTTAGAACTCAGGGGAAATGAAAGCCATAGGGTTTCGTTCTGCCGCCCCAGCACTCTCACACACTGCCGCGGCTCCGCACACCTGAGACGATCTTGCAGCTCATGGTGATGGGCTGGAAGGACTTTCCCGGGGACTCGGGCTGCGAGCCCTGACCGTGTGGCGCAACTTTGCAGCTTGAAGCGATGGGCTGGAAAGCTGAATTGCCGTGAGAGCAGAAGGCCACTTTCTGGGATGTTGCGATTTTGGTGGGTGTTCTTTCTAACGAAGACGGCAAGGAATAAAATGTAGAGTGTCTCTCAGCTTCGGTGTTAGCTGGGAATCCTGCTTGAAATGGAACAGGCAAATGGTAAGCTACCAATCACCCTGAAATAACGAAGCCTTACCGTTGTGGAAAAGAACAGAAATTCCTTATTATTTTAATGCCCACCTAAGTCCTTTATTGGCAGTAAAATAAATGTAATTATATCTTTATGCCTTTTTTGGGAAGAAGTAAGTATAATACTTAGGATATTTAGTTAAAATGCTTCCTTCAATAATTAGAAAATAATAAGAAAACCTATTAACTATGAATGGTATATAATATTAAAGGAACAAGTTCATTATGTTTCTCTATTTAAAAAATGAATTTATAAGCTGCTTAATTTAGAGAAGCAAAAAAACTCAAAAAGGTAACACATTCACTTAATCGAATGATGTCCTTATCTTATTAACTGACCAGCAAGCGGTAAGTGATCTAAAGAGAAATAAAGTTGAAATTTTATTAAAAAATATTAAGACTTTAAAATATGGGCTTAGATACAACTGGTATCATTTAGATTCAATTTTATACCTTTTATGCTGAATTATATATAGAGCACTTAGAACATGCATTTATGCGGTTATAGACTAAGTAAGAAACGCCATGATCAAACTAAACTGATGGTGACTTTTTACCCCATCCCATTCTAAGCATGATTGGTATTTAATATTCAAATATTCTGTTCATACAGTCAGAACAAGAAAGTCTTCCTTCGCTATATCAGAGGAAACCATTATAATCACTAACCCAATGCTTTTTAGTGAGGTTTGCCTTTTACAAAACACGGGTAGAACTCTACGGGAAAATATTTTCCTGAGAAATGTAAACTGGCTATTTTCCTAACAAAACTGCAGTAAGAGGGAGCCGGCCTACTTATGGGTATCGTATTTCCCACACATTTAGATCTCTGAAGGTGGAAGCTCAGTATCGTGGTGCAATGAAGAGAAGCATGCCCCAGGATGACGCCCTGCAGGGCAGGTGCTGTCCCACCTCTCTCCACTGCGACGTCAGGCACAGGCTCGTGGGACTGCTTTATCGGTGAGGACGCTTTCACGGGGGCTGGGATGGTCAAAGGCAAGGACGGAGGGGCGTCAGAGATGTCTGACTCCGAGGACTGAGGGCAGACGCAGTCTTCTCCAAGAGAATGCCGATGCAGCTCAACATCCACTACCTGCACGGTTGGGTGACAGTCGAGCATGTGAGTCCACTTCAATGTCACGGAGCTCAAGTGCTGCCCAAAGAGGAGGTTCCAGAACAGATGGGCGCAATTTCTAACCACACCCCAAAGGCAACTCCAATCTCAGGAACTACAGGATTTATCCTGGAATACAACTGAATCTGGTTTAACAGATACTTCAGTGAAACGAATCACAGAACTGGGGGGGCCTTTCCACCTGCTACTTCTGTCCCGTAGGACACCGTTTCTCCAGGGGTCAGCAGGTGGTGTGGTGCTTAAGGCACTGGACTCCCTCATGGCCGACCGTGGTTCGGGTCTGGATTTGGCAGCTTACTTTCCTTCTTTCCCTTTCTCTCTTTCTGGTCAAAAACAAACAAACAAACAAAAAAGCAACACTTTCTCCAAATCTTTGCATGCTTATCTTTCTCACCAGCAGAGCTCAATCTAAAGTCCCCTTCTCAGAGGGACCTTCTCTAACCACCCCAGCTGAAGCAGCTCACTTGTCCCTCAGCCAGGATGACGCCCTGCAGGGCAGGTGCTGTCCCACCTCTCTCCACTGCGACGTCAGGCACAGGCTCGTGGGACTGCTTTATCGGTGAGGACGCTTTCACGGGGGCTGGGATGGTCAAAGGCAAGGACGGAGGGGCGTCAGAGATGTCTGACTCCGAGGACTGAGGGCAGACGCAGTCTTCTCCAAGAGAATGCCGATGCAGCTCAACATCCACTACCTGCACGGTTGGGTGACAGTCGAGCATGTGAGTCCACTTCAATGTCACGGAGCTCAAGTGCTGCCCAAAGAGGAGGTTCCAGAACAGATGGGCGCAATTTCTAACCACACCCCAAAGGCAACTCCAATCTCAGGAACTACAGGATTTATCCTGGAATACAACTGAATCTGGTTTAACAGATACTTCAGTGAAACGAATCACAGAACTGGGGGGGCCTTTCCACCTGCTACTTCTGTCCCGTAGGACACCGTTTCTCCAGGGGTCAGCAGGTGGTGTGGTGCTTAAGGCACTGGACTCCCTCATGGCCGACCGTGGTTCGGGTCTGGATTTGGCAGCTTACTTTCCTTCTTTCCCTTTCTCTCTTTCTGGTCAAAAACAAACAAACAAACAAAAAAGCAACACTTTCTCCAAATCTTTGCATGCTTATCTTTCTCACCAGCAGAGCTCAATCTAAAGTCCCCTTCTCAGAGGGACCTTCTCTAACCACCCCAGCTGAAGCAGCTCACTTGTCCCTCAGCTGCTCGCCTCTTTACAGCACTCGCTGTACCTGACGTGATCTTTTCAGCTTTCGTGTCTACTTTCACTCTCGGCACTCTCAGTACCACCAAGGACGTATCTGCACGAAGGTAGATGCCACCTCGCTCACTGCTATATTCCCCGCACCTGGACCACTGCCTAGCATAATTAAGAGCTCAATAAAAACCAACACAATGTAAGATTTAAGTAACTGACACTGCTGATAAAGGCCACTGCTGATATTATATCATGAATACAAAAAGTGTGGGGGGTGAAGTTGTCTGTTTCAGACTTCTGGATTTAAAAACTTATTACAAAGCCAGAGGAACCCAAACACTGTGTTGCTGGCGTGAGGACGCACAGACAAATGGGACAGAATAGATCCTCCTGTAAATGCCCAAGTGCTCCTCGACGGGACGCCAGGGACACCTGACGGGGGAAGGCTGGTCTGTCCAACTAACGGTGCCAGGAGACTGGAACCCCGCTGGGTTCTCATCCTTCCCTTAATACAGAACGAACTCAAGCTGGACCACAGGCCTGAACGTAAGAGCTGAGACAACAGAACACGCAGAGGAGAACTCCGTGGAGCTGGATTTGGCCATCGTTAGCTATAATACCAAGAGTTTAAGAAACGACAAACCCAACTCCACCTACAGGGAGCCCGAAGCCTGTGCACCAGGGACACGACGGACAGGGAGGCAGGAAGAAGCTAGGACGGGAGAGTCTGCTGGGGACCATGTATTTAGTGACGGGTGGCATATGGAATACGTGAAGAACTACAACTCGGTAATAACAGAAAGTAACCAACCTCACTTTACAAGGGCAGGAGACATCTCCCTGAGGAAGGTAAGCGGATGACCAGCAAGCACGTGAAAGGCTGGTGGGCATCACTAGTCATTAGGGAAATGCAAAGCAAAGCTTCGAGACACCACTGTGCAACCGTGAGGACGGCTCCTAAAGGGAAACCAGAACAAAACAGACAAAACCCCAGGCCGGAGAGTAACTACTGCTAGCAAAGAGGAGGACTCCAGCACTGGGCACCTGCCACCCTTGGTGGGAATGTAACATGGCGCAGCTGCTATGGAAAATGCAGTAGGGATTCCTCAAAAAATTAAAAAGAAATTGACTGCATGATCCAATAATTCTATTTCTGGGTAAATGCCCCGAAGAACTGAAAGCAGGCACTTAAAGAGTTATCTATAAGCCACACTCACAGTAGAATTGTTCACAACAGCCGAAAGGCAGAAACTACCCAACTAGCCAACAGATCGAAGAAACAAAACGTATGTACAAATAATGCACATTATTCAACCTCAAAAAGAGAGGAAATTCTGACACGTGACACAACGTGGGTGAACCCTGAAGCAGTGTGCTCAGTAAAACAAGGTAGTCACGGGCCCTCCAGGTGACGTGACGGTGGCTGGATCCCGAGCCAACCGCATGGTTTGAGTCCTAGACTGGTGAAACATGCCGAGTGCATGAGTGTGCACCATGTAATCCCGAGAAGAGAACGGAGGAGAAGGGACTGTGGCGTGGCCATCCCCCTGGGGGGGGTGCTTTCTCTCTCTCTCTCTCTCTCTCTCTGCAAACATGAGCCCTACAGCAAATTTAAAAGAAAAAGTAAGGCAGTCACAAAAAGACAATAATTTACAATTCTACTTACAGGAGGGGCCTAGAGCAGCCGCACTGAGAGAGAGAGAAGGGAAGACAGTGGTTGGCAGGGAGCTGGGGGACGGACACACGGATAGTTACTGTTTAATGAACAGGGTTTCAGCTCTGCAAGACTAACAGTTATGAACTGTAGGGAAGATGTGCGACTGTACTTAATACTACTGCGCCATACACTGGAAACGCTTCCGATGGCGAATACTACGAGTTTTCACTCCCAGAGGGCACATGTGCTCTCCCGAAAGAGGGAAGAGAGAGGAAGAGAGGAGAGACAGGGAGAGCGCACGGGCATGGCAGCAGGCAGACGCCCCCACGGGTGATCATGCACAACCCTTTCTCCTCCATTTCTCCGTATCATCAGGATTGGATCTGGGGCACCCGTGTTCACATGCTCGATGTTTTTTTATATGTGTTCTCAAGGGCATTTGTGCTCACCAGAAAGACAGAGGGAAAGCAAGAGGAGAAAGCACCACCTCCCAGGGAGAATGGCCTGACTGCCATCACTTCTCCATCTCCCCCTCCTTTCGGGACTCTGGGCAAGTACACACATACGATGTTGTTGACCGTGTGGGATCTGGCTGCTTTAACCACCAGGCCGTGGCACTGGCCCACCCACGGGTTTTCTCAAGTCAGTGGGGTTGGGATGAGAACCGTGGTCGGCCATGCGGGACCCAGCTCCCTGTGCACACACCCACCTCTGTGCTGTGGGGGTGGCCCTACGTGAAGAAGTTTTAATTGCCATGAATAACGAAGACAAAAACAAACAAAAAAAGGGGTGGGAGAAATGAACTTTCAAAAAAAAATTCAACATTAAAAATGAAAATACTAATTAAAAATGAAGATAAACCTTCATCCTACTTGTTCCCAAATATTATACAAAACCACTTGCCGTTTCTGCTCCCAGAGTCTGCAGGCCAGTGTACGTCCTGTCCAGCTATTGAAAGACAAGAGAGAGAACGTTACATTTCACTGACTCAGGATAGACTCTTACCTAAGACTCCTTCACCACACGTCTTCACACCACAGGGTGAGCTTTGTCATAAACCATCGATTCATCACATCTATAAAAAAATCCACATTGTTTGCAGGGGAAAATGAAATAAAAAATACTTCATAAAGGTATTATATAATAAAACATAATTACATTTTTAATATAAATAATCACTTCTAAAAGCCTATTGTAAGGACAATCTGAAAATGAAGGGTTTTTTGGGGGGAGAGGTTTTTGCTATAGGGCGTGTGTGCTCGCCAGACAGAGACGGAGGGACAGAAAGCGAAAAATCACCCCCCATGGGGATGGCCACACCGCAATCCCTTCTCCCCCATTCTCCTCTCAGGATCTTGGGCACGCACGCACATGTGCCCGGCGTAAGTTTTAAGCCACCGGGTCCGGGACGCAAACCGCGGTCGACTACGTGGGAGTCCAGCGACATAGCCATTATGCTAACTGCTGGTCCCTAAAAATGAAGTTTTAACATAAACAGAAGTTTAATGAAGCAGTATGTGTAACCATGCAGTAAAAATAGCAGCAATGTAGGGTAACAGAGAAATGTTTAGGCAAACCATGGGTCACTGGGTGAAGTGCTATGCAGCCATTTAAATGATGTTTGCAAATCTGGTAAAAAATATTTGAACAGCAATCTATAAAATATGCATGCAGTGTTATGGCACAATTACATACTCAGGGTACATTATGAAGTACTTTTGGAAAATAAAAATTGAGCAATATACGCAATGCTTATTACTGCAAAGATGAGGGCACTTTAAAAGGTACATGAAAAACGGAGTTCAAGTACAAGTTTTTTTAGTACAAGAAATTTTGAAATCCACACATGGTTTATTCATAATATACTCCATAAATGTTTTAAATATCCTTTCTTGCTTTGAATTTTCTACAGGATGCATGCACTGCGGAGAGACAGTGAAGGGAAGTGAGAAGGCACCCTTTGAGGGGATGGTTATGCTGTAACCCCTCTTCCGCCATCTTCCTTCCAGGATCCCAGGCACGAATGCACACATGCCTGGTGTGTTAGGTCCGGGACTTGGACTTCACGGTTGGTCACGCAGGATCCAGCTGTCACCTGGCTGGCCTGAAAATTCTTTCTATATGAGAATCATGCATGATTTATTTCTGAGGAGGAGGGTACATAAAACTAAGAAATGTTGGGACCAGCAGATGGTGTAATGGTTACATCGCTGGACTCCTAAGTAGTTGATCACAGTTTGAGTCCCGGCCCTGGCAGCTTAAAACTCATGCCAGGCACATGTGCCGGCATGCCCAAGATCCCAAGAGGACAGTGGAGAAGGGATTGCTGCATGGCCATCCTCCCTGGGGGGGGGGGGTGATTTCTTGCTTTCTGTTTCTTTGTCTCTGTCTCTCCAGTGAGCACATGCACCCTATAGCAAATATCTCTCTAAAAATAAATAAATCAAAATGAATAAATAAATAAAAAGCAACACAGAGTGGATTTATAGTAGTTCCCAGGAAGAGATGTTGAGTTCTAATATTTATACTTCAGCCAAAATTATGATATCTGACAGTAAGTTACCCCCATTTTCATATCCTTCAGATCATAGAAATAAGAGTTTCTCAATAAATCTGTACTGGTATGTTTCATTCTTGGGACCAAATTTTAATGGAGATATTGATAAAAACAAAACTGATATCAAAACAGTAAGAGGAACTGGAAAACACAGCATAGAAGAAATGTTTTGCCTGAAAGAGAAGTGATTTAATTACTGACATGACGTCTATAATCATTTCGAAAAAGCAGTTTTAGGTGAATTTAAAGCAAAGCTTTCTAAGCGTTTATAACTAAATGGGCCACTGTGTTGTCTCAGGAAGAGCTGCGTTCCACGGTGATAGTCTTAGGGCTGCAAGATATGGAATTTTATTCTTTCTGGAAACTTCTGGTTGTATAAACTCCTAGCACTGTAGAGTATTCAACACCTGACGTAACAGTTACGGCCCCAAATACATACCACTACATACTACAGGACTGCAGCATGCCAAGACCACGGGGTGCATACATAGCCAGGAAGTTACACGGGAACTCGAAGAATGGAAAGCGTTCAAAAGCATTTGGGCAGGGGAAGAACACGGAAAGAGACACGAGGGGACAGGGCCCCAGGCGCATCCGGACGTGAGCAGACTGCCGTGGCTGGAGGAGGGTGTTTGGGAGAAAGTCGGGCACGGGCGTTCAGGGAGGTACCGAGTCAGAGCGTGAAGAGGCCTGGTTGGAACAGCAGGAACTCGATGGAGCTTTTAAAGAGCCGGCTCTGCTGTTTCAAAGGACTACTCTGATGCAGCGTTCAGAGTGGACTGAGGGGCAGACAGAGAAGCCAGTCAGGAGGCAGCAGAGCAACAGCCTTGGATCAGTGGAAGGACAGAGAGCAGGAAGCACAAGAGTATCAAGAAAAAACAATAGTCTGCAGCTGAACAAATACTTAGGATGACGAGGGAAGAGTGAAATGGCTGAGGGTCAGCCCTGGGAAGACGGGAGGGATCTTCTGGTACATGTGGGGCCACGCAGCCACCACACAGGTGGTCAAGGTCATAACAACCTAAAGCAGTACTTAATGTTCTAGAACTGGTAAGAAATACTTCACTGTCGTTTTCAAACACTGTGCTTCAAACAGTCTTCAACCAGAAGCTCCGGCTGAGTAACGGGAGAACTATGCACCATCCCTTCGATGTTAGGGGTTAAGGCCGGACCCAGTGTAACATAACAGTGCTTAAAATGAAAAGAAAGCAAAGCTATTTTGGACCACTTTCTAAATGGGGCAGAATTCGGTCTCTCTGAAAAAACGGCGGTACGCGCTTCATGTGATTTTAGTTCTTCTCTGAAGCCCTGAGGCAATGGTCTCAGTACTCTCAAAAAACAGACACAGAAATCAAGGTAAGCGTACTCTTCACCAATGGAGGGCAAACTTCAGTCTTAATGGTGAGACAAAGGAAATAAAAACAGGATTCTATAGATGTTCTCAACTTTATTTATTCCAATTTTGGGTGTCACTAATGAGAAAAACGGATAAACCCCAAAGTAAGGGTGCTCTGAAAGAAGCACGTTACGATTATGACACGTGTAAAGAAAATGCACAGAAACTACTAAGAAGAAGGCCCTGGGGCCAGCAGGTGGCATAGTGGTTAAAGGAGCTGGAATCCCACATGGCCAACTGAGGTTCAAGTCCTGGACCCGGTGCGTTGCTTTCTCTCTTTCCCGCTCTCTCTGATCAAACTGGAAAATCATATCAATAACAACAAATAAAGTTAAATAAAATAATTCTTAAAAAAAAAAAAGGGAGGAGGCCTGGGCCACTAGGTGGCGTGAAGTTTGAGGCCACATGGTCAAGTGCATGACTCGAGTCCTGGACCCACCAGCTTGAAAACCATGCCAGGCACATGTACAGCGTGGCCACGATCCTGAGAAGAAAATGGAGAAGGGACTACAGTGTGACCATCTGCCCTGGGAGAAGCCTTCTCACTTTCTCTTGTCTCTGTGTGTTTTGCACATGCCCCGTAGCAAAATAAATACATACAATGAAGGCTTTAAAAAAAATAAATAAATAAGAAAAAGAGAAAGGCCTAGGGGAATATTAAAAAAGGCTCTTCCAGGGACCAGTAGTTGGCATGGTGGCTAAAGTGCTGGATACTCCCACATGGCTGACCACAGTTCGAGTCCTGGACCTGGTGGCTTGCTTTCTCATTCTCAGTTTCCCTCTCTCTCTCTCTCTCTGTGTGTGTGTCTTTCTCAGCTCAAATTAAGAGTAAATGAATAAATAAATAAAATTAAATTAAAAAACGTTTTAAGAAAAGGCTCTTCCAACTATAAAAGTTAAAATATGTTTATTATATAAAGTTGCAAAAAGGTTGAAAAAAAAATAAACAGAAAAACAAGGCAAAACTGCCCGAAATTATATGAACTTCTCCAATATCTAAGTGTAATTCTTCCATATGTTTCTACCTTCCAGAAATCATGGTTGTCACCATACGGTTTTACTTCGATACTAGTAGTTTCTCTCCACATACAGAAAACATTTTATAAAATATCACTTACAAGAGTTACATAATAAAACATGAAGACACATCAGTGATAGAGTTTTACAATACAAATCGCAGGTATTAAAACCTTGAACAGTACTTAATAACTGCCAAACTCGTCTACTTCTGTCTGTATCCTTATGCAATAAACAGACAAGGCTTATTTGCCTCATTTTATAGAAAAGTAAAGAAAAGTAAATTAAAAAAAAAATTAAGTAACTTTGTCCCAAGTAACACATTAATGGTGAAATTTAATCAAAGATTCAAGTCTTCCAGTTACCTAATCAGTTAGTTCATCCCTTTTCTGGGCTAGAGGGTACATGGACTCACCAGACAGAGAGAGGGAAAGTGAGAAATCCCCCCTAGGGGTATGGCCACGCCACAATCCCTTCTCCTCTATGCTCCTCTCGGGATTCTGGGATTCACGCACCCGGCATGACTGATAGGTCACCAGGTCTGGGATTCAAACCACGGTTGGCCATGTGAGAGTCCAGGGCCTTAACCACCACTCCACCTGCTGGCCCCTAGCTCATCTTTTTCAACAACAAAAATTGTTCTATAAGGCAATTCCCCTCCCAGCCTTCGGAGGACAGTGGCAGTAAGCATATCACATTCCAAAAAGGAGCCTGCTCCCACTCCGTGGCCACCACTCCTCTCAGGAAGCCTACCACTGCCACGTGAAGCCGGTGGTGAGGAGACACTTCATTTCTGGGGTGTGAGGGCTTGTTACAATACCTTCAGGTTATGTATGATGTCTATCCGCTTGTTCTGGCTGTCCTTAAAGTGAACTTGAACTCTGACGGGAAACTCACCCCAGCCTCTTCTGGTCAGGTGGAAAGGAGGCTCTCTGAGGAAAAGCAGACATTAACACATTCACCCATGCTCATCCTCTCATCCTGAAAAGTTCTGTCATAGCACATAAATCAGAAATTCACATCCTTCTAAGAATCAGGTTTCCTAGTTTGACACTAAATGAACATGTCGAATTTGCTAAAATGTAAGTTATAAAAAAAAAAAAAAGTTAATGCAACTCGAACCTGTATTAGACTTTCAATTACTGAAGGCTTAGAGCTAAAAGACTTAACCCCTATCATCCGACGTCATTTTCACACATGAGGGAAGTCAGGAGATTTGACAGCTGCCACACTACAGAGCCAGAATCCTCAACTGCCCTTGACGGTACAGGCTGACCTCAACCTTCGTATTTTGCCTCCATGAGACAAAACCAAAATCGATCACGAAAAGGCTAAATCTGAAAGCGACAATTTATTTCAAACTGCTAAGAGAACGCAAAAGATCTTATTTTCACAGTATGACCCTCCCCATACAGTGGCTATGATTTTGGTGGACAAGGGAAACTGAGTGAAAGCTACTTAGACGGGAGAATCTTCAGGCCCAGTATAACCTGTGAAGGGGAAAGGAGGGAGAGAAACGGGGAAGCAAGACTGGCCAGCTATGGCTGACTGGGACTGGCACACGCGAGTTCACTGTACTCTACCCGTGTGAGCTTTACAGCTTCCACAGTAAGTTCGGAAACCCTAAGAACTATGGCACAAGTTATTGGAAAAGAAAAATAAAATAAAGTAAAATAAAGATAAGTGTGACAAATCCCTGGCTGGGAGTTACCGTGAGGAGAAAAGATGCCAACACTGCAGGGAACACAGAACTTCCAGTGGGATGAGCTTTTGGGAAACCCGAGACGCGAGCTCCCAATGGCAGAGCCTAAGAACACAACCTGAGAGGGGCCTAACAGACCTCCTCGAGCGAGCATGATGCCAGGAACGACCAGGAGAGCCCCAGACGAGAAAGACCCGAGGGTGCGAGCAGTCTGGAAGTCCAGAGAAAGGCTGGCTCTGTGGCCTGGTGGGTAAGGCAGCGGGATTCCGCCTGGCCAACACTGTGCTTCTAACCCTGGACCTGGTGGCTTGGGAAACACGCTGGGCACATGTGCATGCATGCCCCAGATCCCGAAAGCAAGAAGTGGAGGAGCAGGGACTGCAGAGTGGCCATGCCCCATGGGAGGTGATTTCTCTCTCCTTCTCGGTCTGTTTCCAGGGAACACATGTGCTTCCTAGAGAAGAAAATATAAAATAGAGAAAGCAGACCGGAGAAAATGAAGCAAGGAAAGCTAGAAAGCTCTGGATGGAAGACAACAACTAACTCTGCCCGAGGGAAGAGACGTAGCCATGACATTGGTATAGGTTTAGCTTGGGCTCAAAAGAGGTTTGAGAACGGAGATACTAGTTTTGAAGGGGATCCCAGGCCAGAGATGCAGTGGAGCCCAAAGGCATGGTGGACTTAGAGTGATTAAGAGAAATTCTAGGGACCAGCTGTTAGCATAATGGCTATGTCTCTGGACTCCCATGTAGTTGACCGCAGTTCGCATCCCGAGTGAGTGAGTGGCTTAAACTCACGCTGGACACATGTGCGTGTGTGCCCAAGATCCCGAGAGAAGAATGGAGGAGAATGGAGGAGAAGGGATTACGGCGTGGCCATCCACCCTGGGGGGTAATTTCTCGCTTTATATCTCTCTGTCTGTCTGGCGAGCATACACGCGCCCTATAGCAAAAACCTCTCAAAAGAAAAAAGATAAATTCCACTGATGGCTACTCTGGTCATCTGCATTTCAGTAAAACAAGTGGATGGTCTCAGCTGGTTTTCCCATGTGCTCCCATTATACTGACAGTGCGCTGAATTTTCCTTCCGTGGATATAATAAGCAGCTACATTCCGCAACTTCTGTACACAGGCTAACCTTGAGTGGACAGGAAGGACTGCTGCCACGGAAGGCAAAGACAAACAGCACAAAGCCAGGGAGGAAGAACCCTGCTTTCTAACATGAAAGTCCTTCATTACTGCATTTTTGCTAGTCCAGGACCTAGCAATAGATATTATCTATGGAAACTTTATACTTCAAAAGTTATATTATTTCACATTAAAAAAAAAAACCTGCCGGGGGCATAATAGTTATATTGCTGAACTCCCATGTAGTCAGCCACGGTTCTAGTCCTGGACCTGGTGCCTTTAAACTCACCCAAGGTGCATGTGCGTGCATACCAAAATCCAGAGAGGAGAATGGAGGAGAAGGGGCTGCGTGGCCATCCCCCCTGGGGGTGATTTCTTGCCACTCCTCCATCGCCTCAGCCGTGTTGTCTCACTTCCTTCCCTCTTGCTCTCTGGGGAGCATGCACATGAGACAGAGAGATGGAAAGAAAAGAGGAGGAGGATGGAAGAAAGGAGAAAAGGAAGAGAGGTTTGGTATCACCATAAAATATGGCAATAATACGTTAATTCAGTGCAACTCCAATCTGAAACGACAACTGATGTTCCAAGTAACCTAGAAAAACATGTACACTCATGACTGGCCAAGGAAAAATGTGAAGAACGAGGGAAATGATACCTATCAGAAACAGACTCTAAAGCAAATCCGCATTTACATGGAAATTTAGCGTGTACTGGATGAAAAGACAGACCAGCTGATCATTAGGACACCTATTATCTACGTAAAAACAAACATACGTGTACTACCGACTAAGCGCTCCTTTCCACGCCCTCCCCGCCAAGTCCCCCAGCTTTCCAGCGCCATTCCTAATCCAGCCAGTCTTCAGCCCACTGGGACTTCCATCCCTTGCCCATACAAACTCTCACTACCCATCACTGCTCTTACACAACACACTCTGACCCTTCAGCTCCTTAGTCATTACTCTGAGAAAAGTCAAGGAGCCCAGAGATCAGGGTGAATTGTCTGCATGCATGTCAAAATCTTTAAGAATAATGGCAAGGATACTGGTAAATAAAAAACAGTAAATTGGGTGCCAAAATCTTTTTTTTTTTTTTTTTTTGAGACATTTTTGTCATAGGGAGTATGTGCTTGCCAGAAAGACTGAGACAGACAGAAAGACAGAAATTGAGAAATCACCCCCCGGGGGGATGGCCACGCCACAATCCCTTCTCTTCCACTCTCTTCTCGGGATCTTGGGCACGCACGCACGCACGCACACATGCCCGGCGTGAGTTTTAAGCCACCGGGTCAGGGACACAAACCGCAGTTGACTACATGAGAGTCCAGCGACATAGCCGTTATGCTAACTGTTGGTCCCCCCCCAAAATAATTTTTTAAAGAGAGAAATGACTTGGGAAATTAATAGACAATTGCATCAAAAGAGAAGAGATTATCTGAGGGAAGAAGGGGAAAAGGTGGTTTGAAAGCTACAAACGTGAGTAAGGAAGACATTCACCCAGCCCCCAGATCCAACGGTACAGGGAGTGAGGGAGGAAAACTGCCACTCAGAGGCCAGCCACATGGCATTGTAGTTAAGTCAGCTGGATCCCACATTGTCAACTGCGCAGTTTGAGTCCTGGACCCAGCAAAGTGGCTTGGAAAATGCAGAGGTGGGTGTGTTGCATCCCCCAAATCTCAGCAAAACAGAGGAGAAGGGACTGCAGTGTGGTCATCTGCTATGGTGCTGCTGGGGGGCGGGGGGGGGTGTTTTCTCACTTTCCTTCTCTCTCAATGATTACATGCACCTTCCACAGCAAGGATCTTGAACTTGGTGGGGCTTCCGTTGAGTAGTAAAGTTTGTATTTAACAAAACGAAAAGTCCTCCTAATTATAAGGGCTACAGAAGAAGCAGGGTTCTTAGAAGAGAGCTGTATTTTGTTTAAAGTCAGGAGTAAATGGAAAGTTCAGAACAGAGGATACAGATTTGACTGACAATATTAACCACCATCACTTCCACAGAGCATTCATACAGCAAATGTGTACAGGATACGTAACATCATATAAAAATGCATTTAAATCACACACGCAAATTGCATACATGCTATCATTCCATCTTTGTGAAATAACAACAGTGCTAGGTTAGTGTAAGTATAGGAAAAATATCATTAGGAGTTATTTCTGAAAGTAAATTAATAACAAGAGTTTTCGAGGAATGTGGACATTAAATTCCTTTTCTTCCACTTTAATAAACCTGTGCTTCTCAGGTAAGACAAAAACAAAAAACAAAACATAAAAAACTCAAGTCTGCTTACCTAACTTCCACGAGATCATTTGGCTTATAGCTGGGATGAAGGAAGAACCAGACTTTCTTGACGAAATGATTAATGCTGGGCTCTCTACGAGACCCTCGGACATACACCATCCACTTATGAGTTGACTGGTCATTTTCTTCTCTCTTATCCGGAGGTATGTATCTAGAGGAGAAAAATTTTAAAAACTTGAATTTTTTTCCCTTCAAAAACCTAACAGAACAATTAGCTCCTACTTAAAACAAGATTAAAACTCCACCAATATTTAATAGCTATTACCACCTAACCAAATAAACAAAGTCTTTGCAGGTAACCATTTTATTTCTTCTTTCTTTTTAATACAGTACTTTGGTCTAAGGGGCATTCCCTTAAGGTTTATTTTGTTTTCTGATTATCAGTCTGTGATTTAAAAAAGAAAAACCAACCCAAAACTTGTTTTTCCTGCCAAGTGGGTATCTGAAGTGGAAATAAACTGGCATGTTTTTATTCTGGGGTTAGGGAACCTCCATCTTTTGACTTCATGGTTTCAGGGTGCTAACTCAGTGGTTACACCTGCTTTCCTGCCTCGTGATAGCCTAAACACACACACCCTAATTTAAGTCCTGACCATGGTAAAACTGGCACCTTTAGCTCTCCCTTTATGGGCCATGGCTTTATTTCATTGTGTGGAGCCCCCTTAGATTACAGTGGAAAATGCTGTCATGGTCTTCTACAAGTTCATCTAGGCCTATAGTCACCTTTCGTAGGCAGGGGCCAGGTCGCATAACCTCCTTCTTTAGGGGTGTTTTTGTCCAGTCTTGGCCCTTTGCTCTTCCATATGTAAGAATCAGCCTATAATCATCATGAACTTCATTGAGATTTTAACTGGAATAGCTACAGATGGATTTCGGGATAAGTGACATCTTCATGTTATTAAGCCTGTCTATCCATGAATATGGTATATTGCTCTAATTATCCAGTTCTTCTTTCATATCTTCAATAAAGTTTTGAAAGTCTTCATGTGGTAGATAAAGCAGCTGGATCCCACACGGACAACTATGCAGTTTGACCAAGACCTGGTGGCTTGAAAAACAGACTGGGTGTGTGTACGTGTGTGTGTGTGAGCGCACATGTGTGTGCTCAGAATCCTCAAGGAGGGAAAAATAAAGGAACAGGGATTGTGGCATGACCATTCCCTCTGAAGGGTGCTATCTCACCATGTTTTTCCCTGCAATAAGCACAAGTGTCCTCTGGCAAATTTTAAAATAAATAAATAAACAAATAAATAAAATGAAGTCTTCATGAAGGATTAGCCTATCTCTGGTTTGATAAGTTTTTTTATTTTTTTCCAGGTTTTGTCACAGGGTATGTGCGCTCACCTGAGAGAGAGACAGTGAAAGGGAAAGTGAGTAGTCACCCCCCCACCAGGGGGAGATGGTCACACTGTAATCTGTTCTGCTCCATTTTCCTCCTGGATTTTGGGCTTGTACACAAATGTGCCCAGTGTGATTTTTCAAGCCACTGGGTCCAGGACTCGAACTGTGACTGGCCATGTGGGAGTCCAGTGCCTTAACTACCATGTCACCTGCTGGCCCGAGTGTTACATTTTTATTGCTATAACAAATACATCTTGGGACCAGCAGGTGGCGTGGTGGTTACGGCGCTGGACACTCCCACATGGCCGACCAGGGTTCAAGTCCTGAATCTGGTGGCTTGCTTTCTCACTTCCTCTCTCTCTCACTCTCAATCTCTGTCTCTCTCTGGTCAAATTAAAAAAAAAAAAAAAAAGAATGAGTAAATAAAATAAATAATTTTTAAAACAAAAAACAAAAAAACCCCAAATATATCTTTTCCAAAAATCATGTTTTCTGAGTTTATGTCTGTCACAAAAAAAACAATCTATTTGTGTATTTATGTACTCAATAACCTTGCAAAGCACTCTCGTTAATCCAAAAACTTCATCAATTGTTTCAGATTTTTTCTATGTAGACAGTCATAACACCTGTTAATCATATTAACAAATGTCAATGGCCTTTTGTTTCTTCTTTTCTAATCCTTATACATTTGATTTTTCTTATCTGACTACATTAGTATCACAAGTCCAACGCGGAATAGCAGCAGTAATACCTGGTATCTCATTTTGCTTTTTATCATAGAGGGAAGGCTTTTCATAGTTTACCATTGGGTATAACATTTGCTATAGGTTTTCTGAAGATATTCTTCACGTGAGAAACTAAATTCCCAGTATGCCAAGTGAAACATCACAAACAGATGTTAAGTTTTGTCAAATGTTATTTTAGCATTGTTTGAAGTAATCATGTTTTTCTTCCTGCCATAGCTGATGTGGTTAATTATATTTATCAATTTTCTAATGTCAATTCAAATTTAATTTCTTGGTGATGAAATAGAATTTCTATAGCTAGAGAATCTAGTTTACTATTTTGTTCAGCATTTTATAAAATCTACGTTTATAGTGTGATCATCCCGGATCAAAGTTAAGCTACCCTGTGACAGGTTGGCAAGTGTAATCTTTCTTCTCTAGATTTTGTTTACAACTGAAATGATCTGTTCACTCAGCCTGGAAACCAATACAGGCCTGCTGGTTTGGTTCTGTGGTGGTAATGTTTGTTTGTTTATTTATTTATTTTTCTTTTTTTTGGAGAGTTTTTTTTTTTTTTTTTGCTATAGGGCGCGTGCGCTCGCCAGACAGACAGACAGAGACAGAGAGACAGAAAGCAAGAAATCACCCCCCAGGGGGGATGGCCACGCCGCAATCCCTTCTCCTCCATTCTCCTCTCGGGATCTTGGGCACGCACACACACACGCCTGGCATGAGTTTAAGCCACCGGGTCCCGGACTCGAACCGCAGTCGACTACATGGGAGTCCAGCGACATAGCCATTACGCTAACTGCTGGTTTGGTTCTGTGGTGGTAATGTTTTAATAAAACAAAAACAATAACTGAGTGAACCTGTGGAGTGGTGCTTCAGGTGGCTGGGCCCTGCGTGGCTGGCTATGTGGTTACAGTTCCAGACCCAGCGGCTTGAGAAACATGCTGGGTATGTGTGCGTGCATGCTCAAAATCTCAAATGGGAGATAGAGAAAGGACTGCAGCATGAAAACTCGACATGCAGGGAACTTCTTACTTCCTCAATCACTATCACTAGTGAGCACATGTACTCTCTGGCAAATTAATAAAAAGAAAAATCTATAATCAAACTTACTTAGTAGTTCTAAAACATTCGAGGTTTTTCCTTTAAGTCATTATAAATTGTATTATTGTAGAATTATCTACTTCCTCCAAACTGTCAAATGTACTACATAAATATGTTAACAGTTTCTTCTCGCTCTCTTTCCTACGAGTCAGAGAGACAGTACGTCCCATGTCACAACTACCACTGGCCTGCCCAGTCAGCCAAAGCCTCGGGCAGAGGTGCCTGGCATGTACAGGCTAATAGGGAACGTGAACCTGCGATCTTCAATATGGACCCAGCATCACTTGAGGAGTGAGTCACCGCGGAGCCGGCAAGCTAGCCCTCTTCTTACCTTTTCAATAAGTGCAGTATCTGTAGCTGTATCTTCTTTATCATTTCTAGTATTTATTGCTCTTTTGTCTTTGATTAACTTCACCAAGTTTGTCTATGCTATGCCTGTATATTTTTCCTGTTAAGCTTGATTTTAAGCTTGCCTTCTGTAGCTATAATTTTTTAAAGAATTATTTATTTATCATTAGTATTATTATTTTAAATTGATCAGAGAGAACAAGAGAAAGTGGGAAAGAAAGCTGTCAGGTCTGGGATTCAAACAGTTGACCATAGGGGAGTCCAGTACCTTAACTGCCATATCACCCACTGGCCCGCTATCTCAATAATTCATATACTTAAAAAAATTATTTATTTAATTTCATTTATTGTTAATCCTTTTTAATTTGACCAGAAAGAGAAAGAGAGAGAGCGAGCAGAAAAGTGAGAAAATAAACCACCAGATCTGGGACTTGAACCATGGCCAGCCATGTGGGAGTCCAGTGTCTTAACCACCATGTCACCTACCGGCCCCACAATAATTCAAAACTATAAATTACCTTCTAAGTATTTTCTTAGAGTTATCAAGCTAAGTTTTACATATTTAGTACTGAGTATTTTAATATATTTCACTGGCATGAGTTTGCACATTTGGGATTTCCAGACATAGATTTAAATTATCCTCTTGTTATTGATTTCTAACATTTTGCTCTACAGTGGTTGGAAAAGAGTCTGGTGGAGCTGACAGGTGACATGGTGGGTGAAGCACTGGACTCCCACATGGCTGAACATGGTTCCAGTTCTAGGCCAGGCGGCTTCCTCTCTCTCTCTGGTCAAACCGAAAAACAATTCCATAAATTAAATAAATAATTCTTTAAAAAAATAGTCTGTAAAATACAAGCCCTTTGGTATTTGTTGGGTTTGCTTCATGTCTTACCATGCTGTCTGTTTTGCTCATGTATTTAAAAAAGTTTCTTGATCTTGCTGCCTTCACCACAATTGCATCAGCTGGCCCCAAACTTTTTATATTCTTACTAGTATTTTGTTGGATCTATCAAGTACTGACAAATGTGTATGAAAATGTCACTGCGGTAGTTCATCTAGCAATTTTTCCTCGTGTTTCTGTCCATTTTAGCTTAGAGATTTTAAGACTACATTACTAGGACCAGCAGGTGGCATGGTGGTTAAGGTGCTGGGCACCCATCTGCCAGACCACAGTTTTGAGTCTCGAACATGGTGGCTTAAAAAATCATGCTGAGCATGTGTGCATACGTGCCTGAAAATCCCTGCAGAAGGAGAGACTACAGTGTACACTATCCCTGCAGAAGGAGAGACTACAGTGTACACTATCCCTGCAGAAGGAGAGACTACAGCGTATACCATCCCTGCAGAAGGAGAGACTACAAGTGTACACCATCCCCGCTGGGGGGTAACTTCTCACTCTCTCTCTAACTCATTCTACTGAATCCATGTGCCGATGACAAACACCAAGAAAAAAAAAAAAAGACTACACTATCACGTGCAGAACTTAGAATTTTTGTGTCTTCTTGGTAAAGAGAAACTTCTATCATTGTGTAGTAACTTTTTATCTCTCTCAGTGCTTTTAATCTATTTTGCTACACTGGATTTCTTCTGGTTTATTACATGCTTAGTCTATCTTCTTCTATTTCTTTACTTTCCAACTCTCCGTATTTAGATGTGTCTTTGATAAATGACCAAGAGCTAAATTTTATTTTTAGGATTTTTTCCATACAGTGTATGTGGTCTCCCGAGAGAAGTAGAGAGAGACCGCGAGAAATCGCCCCCAGGGGGGAGGCCACATCAGAATCCCTTCCTCACCATCCTCTCCTTGGCTTCTGGGCACACACGCACACGCACCTGGCAAGACTTGCAAGTCACAATGTCCAGGACCCAAGCCGCAGTTGATCATGTGGGAATCCAGCATCTTAGCCAGCATGCTACCTACCTGCTACCCCCAAGAGCTGAATTTTAGATTACTTTATATCAATTTGACAATGCTTATCTTTTAACTAGATAGTTAAATCCATATACTTTTTTTGAGTGTTGGTATATGTAGATTTGTTCTTATAAAATTACTTTATACGACTCGCCTTAATTTTTCTCTTCTCTATATTCCTCCCTTGCCAAAGCTTGTCTACTTTTGGAATCAGGAGTTTTTTCCTTCATTCCGTTTCCCCTCTTACAAATCTCTATGTCTAGGGCCAGCAGGAGGTGTGGAGGTTAAGGCAGCTGGATCCCACAAAGCCAACTTTGCAGCTGAAGTCCTGGACCCGGCAGCCTGAAAATCATGCTGGGTATGTATGTGAGCACACCTGAAATCCTGGGAGAATGGACTGCAGTGTGGCCACGCCCCTCCCCCGTGGTGATTCCTCCAGCTCCCTCTCTGTCTCTGTCTCTGTCTCACTGGTCAGCACGTGCCCTGTAGCAAAAACTGAAAAACAAAAACACCTCTATGTCTATACTTTTAGCGGTTACTTTGGTTTTAAAATTCTTAAAAAAGTCTAAAATTAATAAATATTCTTATTCTCTTTCAGCACAAAGCAATGATGACAGAACATTCTCATGCCAATCAGTCTCTCTACTTAAATCCAAGGTTAACCAGTATTTTAGTTCTCGTCAGTCCAAAAAAAAAGTCCAAAACCAGATTAGACATAATGAGCTGGAAAAACAGTGACTGTTTACCCCCATCTATCTGTGGCCTAGAAGGTCCACTCGGATCTCTGGTTTTGTTTTTTCTGGGCTGAGCAGTCTCTGTATAGGTGGGGCGCTAACTGGGTCACTTCCCATGAACTCGCAGATCCCTTAGCAGCATGCGCTTAACTCTAAACTAGCCTAAAAACCTAAAAACAGAGCACGAACTGTCCTAACCACACGTTATGCTCCCATGTCAACACTAGGTGGTGCCGCAGTCCAAATCCCGAGGCTGAGCCACCCTGGGAAGGTGGAGGGCCGGTGCGGCCTCCCTGGGCTGTGGGCTCACAGGCGTGGGCGGGCCTGCAGAAACTGCAGCAGGCTGCGGCGATGCCGACTGGAGTGCCCAGCTCCACCCGTTTCTCTACCTCACAGAAGGAGAAAATATTGAATCCTGACTCTATATCTAGAGATTTTTAATGCACTCCCTATTGTTTTTGGGCGTGTGCGCTCGCCAGACAGACAGAAACATAGAGACAGAAAGCGAGAAATCACCCCCCAGCGGGGATGGCCTCGCTGCAATCCATTCTCCTCCCGGGATCTTGGGCACGCACACACACACGCACCCGGTGTGAGTTTAAGCCACCGGGTCCGGGACGTGAACCGCGGTCGACTACATGGGAGTCCAGCGACAGAGCCATTACGCTAACTGCTGGTCTCTCCATCATCTTAATTTAATCCCTTCCGTGTATTTACATCTGGGCCAGCTATCTGCACAGCGTAACACCTGACCCATGGTGATTTGTAATGTGTTTATCCAGCCCTGGAAACTCGGCAAAAATGATGATGTTCCCAGAAGACAGCTGAGATCACACTGTTGAAGAACAGCTCCAGGGGGCAGTGAGGACCTGGCTTTGAGGTCTGCTCTGTCACCTTCTGCTACAAATTAAAGACATTCCAGGGCGCCAGCAGCTGGCGTGGTAGTTAAAACGCTGGACTCACACGGCCAACTGCTGTGTGAGTCCCGATCTGTGGCTTGCTTTCTCCTTTTCCCTTTCTCTGTCTCTCTGGTCAAATTAAAAAACAGTAATAATAAAAATAAAATAATTCTTAAAAATAAAATTTTAGTTTGGGCAACCAAGTCAACATTTTTAGGGTGGTCCCTAGGGAACGAACCAGGTCAGGAGTTGGAAGTTGATCTAAACTTACACACCCTTGCATCTTTTTTTTTAAACACATAATTGCTGTACATCTCCACAGCATACAAAGTGCCTTACGTCTTAATAAAATACCTTTGCGTAAGAGTTCATGTCTTAGAACTGTCCACCATGCACCGTTTTCTCCTAAGTTAAAGAACAACAAGCACTCCAAAGCAGAGTCTCAAGTGGATGCCTTTGGTTTACTTTTGTAATAACTAACAGTTTGGGAAAAACACGCCCTGAGGCTTCTTCCAAACGCTGAGATACCAGGAGAATGAGGGTGCTTCTGCCAGAGCACTAACATAAATAGACTGAAAACGAGACTTTCATCGACTTCGACTCGGGTCGCAATGACAGCCCCCAAAAGGGATCTAAAGTTACGTCTGAAGAAGGAAAAACAGTCAAAGAAACCCATCCAGCTAAGAACAGCGGCAAATGCTGTTCCAGATTTGGTAGTGCCAATCCCGGACGAATGGCAGATGCCAAGGCTGTACGTGTGAAAGAAAAAAGGAAGGTTTGAAAGTCAGGGCTGAGAGACGTATCTGAGAATTTATCTTTCTCACTTGTCTTTCAAATATCGAATAACTCGCATTTTTTAGAAAATATGCATGAAAAGCAAAAATGATTACTATACTGCCTCTGCTCTAGTGAGATTTACAGAAAATATCTTCCCCTCAGTTACCACCTGCAGAAGTGCCAGGGAGAATGGAACTGCAGAGAGGCAGTACCGAGGAGATGACACGCAAATGAAAAATAAGAGCAAAATTCAAATTCTGACTTTGCTAACTACTGAGCAAGACCACCCTAAGAAAGCCTCTGGACCATGGTTTACTTTTTAAAAAATTATTTATTTTATTTTATTTGCTAGTATTTATCTTTAACTTTCTATAGTCATCAGAGAAAGAGAAGGTGGGAGAAAGTGAGAAAGGAAGCCATCAGGTCCAGGACTCAAACCTCAGCTGTCATGTGGAGTCCAGCGTTCCACCCACCATGCCAGTGGCTGGGTCCCAAGCATGGTTTACTTTTAAATGACTAAGAACGGAGGCCTCTTCCTACGTAGTACTGTAACAAGAGTATCGATGCTGAAGGATTAGCACAAGTAAGTGACTAAAACTGAGACAGTTCACTGGGTACTCACTTGGACACATTGCCCACTACTATCGTTTTCTTGACAAAAAGTCGTGAAGTCTCATCGCCCGTGAGATCAGCATTCTGCTGTTCTGTTTTATGGGAGCCAGAAACACTAGATGTGTCCTGAAAGAAATCAAGAATATTCATTTCCATTTGAACAATCTTCAATAGGAAAGAAACCACAAAATCTTAAAAGGCAAATTTTTCTTTAGAATTACTTCATTTATTTATTTAAATTTGACCTGAGAGGAACAGAGAAAGAGAGAGGGAAAATGAGAGAGCAAGTTTCCAGGTCTGGGACTTGAACCACGGTCAGCCATGTAGGAGTCCAGCGCCCTTAACCATCACACCACGTCAGTCCCACCCCTATTTTCTTTTTTAAGAGAAATTTTTGCTATACGGTGCGTGCACTCACTGGAGATACAGAGACAGAAAGCGAGAAACCACCCCCCAAGAGGGAAGGACATGCCACAACCCCTCCTCCTCCATTCTCCTCTCGGGATTTTGGGCACGCACACACATGCACCTGGCATGACTTTTAAGCTGCCAGGTCTAGGACTTGAGCCACAGTCAACTACGTGGGAGTCCAGCAAGGTAACCATTATGCCATGTGCTGGTCCCTAAAAGATAAATTCTAAGAGTAACTAAAAAAAATATTTTTATAATTATTTAATTTTATTTGTTCATTCATTTATTTTAATTTGACCAGAGAGAGATACACAGAGAGAGAGAGGGAAAGTGAGAAAG